GGAACCGTCATATAGCCTGACGTGCCTTAACTATATGACGGTTCCGTATAGGATACAGGTTCGATTTCTGTCGGAGGACGAATATTTTCTATGAAAATTTTTCGGACATTCGGGCCGGTAAATGTTGTTTAATACTGTTTATTATAAACAGAGCATTTACTTAAATATTTGTATCTATAAAAAGAATGTATAAACATAAAAATGTCTTAAAATAATTGTCGGACTTTGTCCATTTCATAATGTGTGACGTCTTTGTTTACATTTGGATACGCAATGAGCAGATATGAAAGATTATAGTTTAAAAGCAATAAAATCGACCTTGCTAACCGGACGATCCTCTGTGGCCCAATCGGTTAGGGCACGTCAGGCTATATGACGGCTCCGTATCAGATAAAGGTTCTATTCCTGTCGGAGGATGAATATTTTTTATGAAAATTTCTCGGACATTCAGGCCGGTAAATGTTGTTTAATACTGTTTGTTATAAACAGATCATTTACTTACAATTTGCATTGCGCCAGTCTTCCAAATGGAGAGCCAGTCGTCAGAGCGAATAACATAACGACTGTACCTTGAAAACAAACCTAATTTCTTTTTTTTAAACGACAGTAAAGGTATAAATTCCATTCACTTATTGGGAAGTGTGAATTCATTATTTCTCTCCTCCCCCGAGTCCTATAACCTTGTTTGGCGACTATTCTAGGAGAAAGAAAATTCTAAATTCAAACCAGTCTGGAGAGGGTTGAGCTCCATCAGGCTATCGTGGCTGCAGTAAGTGGTGCCCCTTTAAACCCAAATTGGTTACGGCACTCGTGACCTTGAAATGTATAAAGATTCTAAATGAAAGATTTTTCAAATTAACTTGGTACAATACTGCAGATGTTACTTTCGTTTTTAATTCAATTCTCTTAATCATATTATCTCTTATTATTACTCCTTCAAAACTCTCTGTTAATTAATTATTGTGTTCGACAGAAGTTAATATTAGCGTTCTGGTACGAGAAGGAAAAAAAACAGTAGCCATGTTGTGTGCCAGTTACCGGATGAGAAAAAAAAAATAATCTAAATAGTTATTTTGCTTAATTCTTTTTTGCTCTTTTCCTTTTTATTGCCGGTGTTGCAAACCTGTGGTCGGCTGGGAATAAGCTCAAAAGAAACGAGTATCTTGAGTCAAATGGTAAATAGTGATTACATTCATCAACTTCTAACAGGTTTATACATCTATATAATAAGAAACCCGCACGTACCTAACAGTCTTATATCGAGTCCATTCTCTGGGTGGTTAATTACAGAAATGGCAGACATTTTTGGTTTAAAACTCCCAGTTCCAGGTGAAGTAATTGCTAGTGCCCAGAGTCACTCGACATACAATAACCACACCCTTTGCCAAATGCACCTGTTTAGATATTCTGCCGCATTTTCTACCATCGATCCATAATTATTGGGTGGATCCTGTACACGGGCTTCAAAACACTGAGAAACGTTTAACCAAATTATGAGTAGGTATAGTGTCTATATACAGGAATCGAGTGATAAAGTCTATTACTGCGTGGCGTCGCTAATAGTGCAGACCAAAACGCATTTAACATGTATTCAAAGTTCTCTTCAAATGTACTTTGTGTCCGTTCGCTATAGAACGGCATTGAGTAATAGTGTTCGTTAGATATGAATATTACGTCTGACTTATGTATGATAATGTCTCTCCACAACTTCCTATCTTTTGTAGCTCTTAGCAAAGCTTGCCTTTCACCGTCACTCCAACTAACTTGAACAAACTTCTTAGGTAGGTCGCGCGTTGTTCCACTCGTCTTCAATATTTCTTGTCAGTATCAAATTTTCCAAGCCCTCTTTCCTCATTGTGTGCTGGGAATTTCAATGTTCTGTCCATGGTATTCTCAGCATCTTTCTGTACAATCACATATCTATTTCTTTAAGTTTTGTGTTTGTCTGTGAGAAGATTGTCTAGCATTCACGACTGTATGAGAGGACTGATATTACATAACAATTGAACACTCTTTAATTTTCAAGAAGTGATCAGTGATTGAATTTTTGGTTTTACATTTGTTTTAGAAGACTGGAGACTTAACTTATCAGTCGACCCACGTCATCAATGCGGTTCTGTTGAAGAAGAAATATAGCAAGACTTTTTTTTTTTTTTTGGTTGAAATAAGCGAAAATATCGTTAAGTTAATGAACTGACATAAAAAATCTGATGGAATGATTGTCCCTACCCACAGGCACTTTCTTTTTGTCAAAAGAAATACTATAGATATATAGTTTTAATAATTATTTTTAAGAATATATGGAGAGCACGAAAGTGAATTCATCTTTATTAGAATTTCAAATTATGGGCATTTAGAAAACATTTCTTAAAGTCAACTTTATTTAATGTTTACATCATTAAATTCCACAATTTCGAACGTTTTCGACTAAAGTTTAGTGCAATATTTTTAGGTGTTTGCTCTCAAAACTAGCGAGAGTTATCCAGTTGAGAAATGTGGCTCTGTCTAGTAAACATCTAAGCGTCGATTCTCTCCTTTTCGTTGAGATAATCATGACGATTGGCGAGTGAAGTTAGGGGACAGTGACGAAGGAGAGTTACGATGTAGAACCCAAAGAATGACTTCCCTAGCCCACAGCGGTAGGGCTTGCAGAAACACACACACACACATACGGCCTAACCATAGAGAAACCGCCATACCCCTCCAGTTTTTCGTTCAGGAAATATTACAATTAAGGCCCTCCTTTCTTACACGCCGTTTGTTGTGATATATTTTATACCATCAAATTCAATATTGATATAAGAATGATATGACTATATAGTAACTCATATAATGATTATATGACTAATATAATGACTCTATAATGACAGATATATTGTCTATATATGACTTATATGTTGTCTGTATATGAATGATAAAATGACTATATATGACTGATATACGGTCTATATATAACTGATATATTGTCCATATATGAATGATGACTATTTATGACTGATATATTGTCTATATATGACTGATATAATGACAATATATGACATATAATGACCGATATATTGTCTAAATATGGATGATATAATGACTATATAATCACTGATATTGTCTAGATATAACTGATATATTGTTTTTATATAAATCATATAATGACGATATATGACTGATATATTGTCTATATATAACTGATATAATGACTATATATAACAGATATTATGTCTATATATGAATGATATAATGACTATATACGACTGATATATTGTCTATAAATGACTAATATAATGGCTATATAATGACTGATATATTGTCTATATATGACTAATATATTGTCTATATATGAATGATATAATAACTATATACGACTGATATATTGTCTATATATGACTGATATAATGACTATAGCTGATATATTGACTATATATGACTGATACAAGGACTATATATGAATGATATAAGGACTATATAATGACTGATATATTGTCTATATATGACTGATTTATTGCCTATACATGAAGGATATAATGACTGATATATTGTCTATATATAGCTGATATATTGTCTATATATGACTGATATGATGTCTACATATGACTGATATATTGGCTATATATAACTGATATAATGACTATATATAACTGATATATTGTCTATATATGACTGATATAATGACTATATAATGACTAATATATTGTCTATATATGACTGATATAGTGTCTACATATGAATGATATAATGACTATATATGACTGATATAAGACTGATTTAAAAAAATAATTATTCACCATAAGGTGAATATTAATAAATTAAATCGAACATTATGCAATTATTATGGTGTTATTAAATATGTTACATGCTGGGATGCTACTGATGCACTCTCTCCTATTTATATATATATATATATATATATATATATATATATATATATATATATAACGACTCGGGGTTTCATGCGCAATGCAATCTTCAAGTCGTGCTACTGGTGAGGCAAAAATGTAAATTCATTAATATATAATTTATAGCTCTGCTATGTTACATCGAGAGCCCTATTTTATTTATATACCACTCAATTAATTATATATATATATATATATATATATATATAATTATTTTTAAAAAATTATAACATAAGTATGTTATAAAATCACTACAAATACTTGATAAGACACAGAGTGTGTTGAAACAAAATGGCTGTTTTTGTAGTGATTTTATAACATACTTATGTTATAATTTTTTTATAAAAATAATTATATCTGCTCTACTTTTGTATTGAGCACTCTTTTTAAGAATAGTAATTGTTGGTTATTGGAATTCATTCCGTGTATACCATTATATATATATATATATATATATATATTATATATATATATATATATATATATATATATATATATATATATATATATATATATATATATAAATAAGGTCATCAGAGTGTCCACTTTTATACTTACATACGCTCTATCCCTGATTTTGTGAACTTTTATCCAGGGACGGTGGAGTAGTGGATAGCGGCACGGATTGAGAAATCTGAGAGCCGAGTTCGAATTCCAATCAAACCCATTACATTCACTTACGTGCTAATCCTCTTGGGAAAGGTATGAATCCTCTTCTTCTTGAATCCCAGTGATGGGTAAATAGCAGGACAGAGCGGCTTCTATAGCCTTGGATGGCAAATTGCAACCTACTGCGGGAAAAATCTGCCTCGTCAGTCCTGTATCGAGAGATACATGATCGCCTAAGCGTGTATCACGTATGGCAGATTGAGAGCCTCGCTTAAAACTATATTTGTATCATATATACATCTGCGTGTCCGTCAGCAGCTAAATTATGTTGACCTTTCTATGATACAAGGCTGATTTCCTGGAGAATACTCATGGTAAAAGCTGAAAGAATGTTCTCTTATTTTTGATAGCACTTGTATGGCTGTGCCTGGATAGGTAGCATTCATCTGGAACAATTCAAAATTGGTTGGCGACTAATTCGATCTTTACATTTAGTTTTTGTTGATGCCATCGACAATTGGATTTCACGCAGGTTCTTCTGATTCTCACCTACTTCTGCATCTCTCACAGTCTCTTCCTCACCCCCCTCTCTCTCTCTCTCTCTTCTCTCTCTCTCTTAGTTGTTTTCTACTTCTGTATACCTCTATCTAGCCATCTCCTCTTTCCTTCTCAGCTATCTTTTACTACTTTATTTTTCTTTCTTGAAATTTTCCTCAATGTGTTGTCTTACAGTCTTTTCATTTCCTTCTCCCTATATCGCTAATGATCTCATTCTCTCCTTCTCTCCTTCTGTCTCTCTCTCTCTTCCCTCAGATTTCTACCAATCTCTCGCATTATTTTCTTCTTTCTCTTTCTCTCACTATCTCTCTTTCTCTCTGAAAGTCATTCTTTCTTACCAATTCTCTCTCTCTCTCTCTCTTTACTTTTGTATCCCTCAGCATTTATCTGTAATCTTGATCGTCTATATCTGCCCATCTCACGATCTCTATCTATATTACTTTTTATCTCTCTGTCTCTCTACCACTCTCTTCCCTCTCTCTACATCAGATGATGTCTGATGTCATAATTCCTTTCTGTCCCTCGTCTTCTAAATTTTAATGTATGAGATTTTGTTCTTTTCCCCAGCCCTCTTTTTCTCTCTCTCTCTCTCTATATATATATATATATATATATATATATATATATATATATATATATATATATTAGTTAAAGATTAAATATTCAATGCAGATCAAATATGGATCGGAATTCGACAGGGTTATAACATAACAAATAGGAAACGTTTATCAGTCTGTTTAAAGTTTCATTAGAGATTGAGAGAAAAAACGCAAAAAACAGAACTTTGGTATTTGTTTGGATCGATTATCATTAGTCAGTCATGTATCACGTGCATTAAAACTGTAGATAAGCGGGCATCGGATTGCAATGTGTATTCGTAATTGTATATGTGTGTCTGTCTAGTAGGAGGAGTTCTAATGTCTTCACCTTTGTGCGGTTAGCCAGCGCGGTGGGGTGCCACTCTATTTAATCTTAGATTGCTTTTTATCTACGTACCCTTTGTGTTAAATAGATATGTTATATTTTTTTAGGAATGGATTCAAAGAAAGATAGCGATGTAATGTAATGTTTTAGGCGCGTATTTATAGTTGTTAATAGTGCTATTACCAAGCTTTCAAAGGGTTTTTCCTTAACGAATTATCTCCTTTTTTTAATTAGGTCAGAATTAGTAAAAATCAAACCTATGTCCTGCATTGGTCCTATGCAATACGAGAGAGAGCGTTTTCCTAAACGCAAGTCTCTCTTCTGTTCGTTGATGCAGCTTTTTAGATTAAGTGATGTCTCCTCCATATATATTTTCGATGAAGACCTCCAAGAGGGCAACTTCCTACGCCTTCTCAGGCTAATGTTCTCGACTGAAATGAAGTGAAAAAAAACGATATTGAATCCATTGCTAGGTCAGAAGCCAGAAAAGTTGTTTCAATGTATCGTGGTAGACAATTTTTCTCTCCAGAATCAATCTTACATATCTATGAGTTTATTATTCGTCCATGCTTAAAATATTGCTTCAACATGTGGTCCGGTGCTCCTGTTATATATCTAGAGTTCCCTGATAAAATCCAAAGAATCCGCAATCTGGCGTCTCGGCTTCAGTCATTTTTCCATCACCGTAAGCTTGCCTCTCTTTGACTTTTCTCTTAATACTTTCATGGTGATTGTTCGAATAAGCTCTTCGCTTGGGTGTTTAGACTTTTTGAATTTAAGCGCAGTACTAGACTAGTGACGAGGTCTCACCAATTTACAATTGAGCTGGCTACAGGTAACTGTAAATTCTATGCTAACAGTTCTCTTCTCGTACTTATCGCTTGTGGAACTCCCTTCCAGCTCCGTGCAAAGTTAAATGCAATGTCTATCGCTATCTTCTGTCTTCCTGATTACTCTTCCTCCGTTCTCGCTCCTTAGTAATGTTCCTGTTCCTAACTCTCCTACACCCAGTAACCCCTTACGTCTCTGTGACTTTACCGCCTTGCTTTGGGGGGAGGGGGACTCGAATAAAAAAATAAAAATGTATATATCGCACTGTGAATGCTGATGGTAATAAAACAGTGCTTGATGTAAATTAACAGTTAATTTTCACTACTGCTAATAAGTATATATTTTGTTCTTTTTGAGTTTCATGCGCGTGGCAATCACCAGTCATGCATTGAAAGTTTTCCATCCGTGTCTGATGATTGCCACATGCACGAAACAAAGATTTGTATCTTTTATTACTAATAGTATATTTATACATATATGCATATTTAGGCAGCATATCTTCATTCAATCATGTTTGCTTGAATAATCTAGATATAGTATGTCTATTTTAATCCTCTCAAATTCACGGAACAATTCCTTAGTGTTGTTATTAAACAGATTAAGAAAGGCGCCGTAGTTTTTCACATTCCTTTTATTTTCTCAAGTACTTTCAATCTTATCTAAGATCAACTTCGAGAAATTTCATAGAAAAAGTGTTTTCTCCGTAGCTAAATCGTATTGACGTCAGTCTATATGACGGTTTCGTATAGGATACAGGTTCGATTCCTGTCGGAGGACACATATTTTCTATGAAATTTCTCGAACATCCATACCGGTAAATGTAGTTAATACAGTTTATTATAAACAGAACATTCACTTAAATAATTTATCTATAAAAATAAAGTATAAAAAGAAAAATATATATATATATATATCTTTCTAATTCCTGATCATTCAGCATATGTATCTATCTTACTTTTTGTTTATTTATTGGTTTGCCCTCACCATACATGCCGATTAAGTACGGTGCTAAGTGCAAGTGCAGAAATCTGCTCTGTAAAACAAAATTTCATTAATGCATGCATCATCGATTTCAGTTCACGTCTTCTGACCCCCAGCAATTTTTATGCAAAAATCAGAAATTTTATTGCTAGTATTGCCTAAAGGGGCCCTTTAATGACGTTATTTTGGAAAAGAGACGACCACTTCTCTAGTCACTCCCCTTTCCCCTCGGAGATATCGTGATAGACCAAATGTGGCATTCGACGATCATGGATTCAATCAGTAATATGGCGAGCGGAGGAGTTTGGATATTTCATAAAAGAAATACTTGCGGGTATGATCCAGTGATTCAAAGAAGGAGCATTTGAACAAAGTATCGATGGCTAGGCTGATCAAAACTATAATTCTCCACGCAGAGAACCAATCAAATTTCTCACATCACATAAGATAATCAGCCTGTATTGATTTGAAAGTCAATCAGTTTTGTTTTCTTTTAGAAAATAATGAGATAAACGAGGAAGTAGAATATGGACTTTTATTAACAATCAGAAAAGAAGCAATATTAGAGATACATAATGAAGAAAACACGGTTTGGAAAATTTAACACTCACGTGGTAGGTCAAATTCAAGAGAGGCAAAAGTAAGCAAACGGTAAACAACTAGATAGAGGAATAAGTTCTACAAAGAGAAACCGTAAAGTATTGCTGAGAGCAACAAAATACAGGAAGCTGTGGAGAACCGTGATTAATATTATCCTAAAAAAATAATCATCTTTTTGCTTAGATTTAAAATTCCCCGACCTATACGTCTGTGATGTGAGATTATTGCCGCGAATTTTGTGGCGCGAATCGAAGCCATGATGTCTATATAAATGCGAATACCAATTGTCCATTAATAACGAAACCGTTAAAGTACATCTGTTTAGGTAGAACCTCAATTATTGCTGTATGAATAAAAACAGACAATGCCATTCTCACTAGTTTGAAAACTCCTTCTTCAACTTATGCTTAGGACAAGAATTTCGATGCAAATATGTTTCTGAATTTTATACATTTGCCACCAAAGGTTACATACTTAGAATCAGAAAGAGTTAAAATTTATGGGCCGCATAAAAGGAGAGAGGGCTTGGAGAATTTAACACTCACAGGACTTATTGGAGGCAAGACGCGGTAGAGGAAAACATGTGTAGGCATACTATGTGCTGTTTCCTTGTCTCCTCCAGCCGTCAGTATCCCTGTGAGCTTTATATTCTCCAGAATTTCTTTCCTCGTAATGGGCTACAGAATATTCGATTGTTTCTTTTTAATTTCAAGCATAAGTGTTCTTTACGTTCACCTTTTCCTTAACACTTTCCTCTTTGCTCACATGTTCCGTCCATGGTATTCTCAGCAACCTTTTCTAGAATCATATGTCTGTATCCTCTTCATCTGTGACTCATGTGACCGTTTTCCTCTGCCGCGTCTTGCCTCCAATAAGTCTTGTGTGTATTAAATTCTCCAAGCCCTCTCTCCTTATTATGCGGCCCATAAATTTTAACTCTTTCTGATTCTAAGTATGTAAGCTTCTTTAGTGGCGAATATATGAAACTCGGAAACATATCTGCATTGAAATTCTTGTCCTAAGCATGAGTTGAAGAATGTGTTTTCAAACTGATGAGAATGGTATTAAATCTGTTTTAATTCAAACACCAAGAAAAGAGGTCTGGTCTTCTAAGAACGTGCAAGATTTAAGGAAAATGGAATCAAAAAAAGACTTTTATTGACATTCAGAAAGCGATATTTGAATTTTCTGAGACATATAATGAGAAAAGAAGGCTTAAAGACACGGCAGATAAATGAACAAGTTATCTATTATGTTGAGAATTGTTTTCTTTCAATACAAATTCGAACTTACATTTCTCATTTGTACTACAGATGACATACTCCCAGAATTCCTCTATGAATTCCTGAAATTGTTAATCCGATAGCCAAGTTTCAATTCACGTTGGATTCGTTGTATTCACTTTCCACACAAATACTTTCAGGAAAGATATAAACCGACTTCTTCTCCGCTAGTTATGTGTTAATTAGTTAGACTTATATCACTAAAACATTATTATCTCAAAAATGGTCTGTCATAACCTTCACATTCCTGGGCGATGTGGGAAAAGAACTTGACCTTTGGAAGTCCCTCTCACGATATTTGCAAGCGTTTGAAAACGTCAATCTTCAGAAACGCCAACATACAGATTGACTATTTCGGGTTCGGTTCGAAATACAAATATCACCTGAAAAAGGCTGAAGCGTACAACGACTGAAACGTTGTGAATTCGACAATAAAATGAAGACGACAATCCTAATAATGTAAATAGTGTAGATACCTTATCTCAGAAATATAAACGAATGATGTCGGATTAAGTAATAACTTACGCAATTCCATCCAAACATATTCTCACACAGAAACAGTAAGAAATACGATCGAAGCAAGATGGCTTTATCTTGTAGTAAGTGAAACATCGTAAACAGCGCCAGGCAACCATTTCCGGCTTCGCTGATATTGAATGTATTATTACTCTATTTCTGGTGAGGCTGGGCGAGGTTAATGCGAATGTAAGAAGAGATCTGTAAAGAAATGGTTGGACCATCTCGTTTTAAATAAACTTGTTATTCGTTTCGTAGTAATTGATTCTTATAATTGAAATAGAAGAAATCAAGCTTATAAGCTATGATTTTGAAAACATTTACTAACATATCCAATAAGTAGTTTTCTTTGCTCGGCAATGTTG